CTTCTTTTGATATTTTGTTCCTTGAGAATATATATATATATATTTATATATATATAAAATGAGAGAGAGAGAGAGAGAGAGAGAGAGAGAGAGAGAGAGAGAGAGAATATTATGTATTGAATTGAAAAGTAACCCTGTCTCAGATGTGGGTTTTGTGGAAATTTTCCCCATTTTGACAGTGTCCTGTAGGGGAAGCTGTAGCCACGCCTACTTAGGGGCTGGCTACAGGTGTGCCTGACCACGCTTTCGAGGGCGTGGTCAGGGTGATGTAGAGCAATACTTGCATGGGACTGCGTTTTCTCTTTCGGTTTCACTTTGGTACTTGCTGGACAGACTGCTGCCACACCGGCTGGGTAGGTTGGTCTGTAAGTAAGGCTTTGCCCTATTAAGTATCCTTATATTTCTACCTGACTCCGTATTGGTAATTCCCCACTATAGTATCCTTTGCCTTACCGAATATTTTTAGTTTCGTGAGGTCCCATTTATTAATTATTGATCATAGTCCCTGGGCTATTACTATTGGTGTTTTGTTCAGTAAGGTGTATCTTGTGCCAGTGGGTTCAAGGCTATTCCCCACTTTCTCTTCTATCAGGTTCATTTTATATGGATTTATGTTGAGGTCTTTGATCCACTAAGATGTGAGTTTTGTGCAGGATGATAGATGTGTACCTATTTGCATTCTTCTACATGCAAACAGCCACTGTGTCCTGCTGCAACAGGGCTGTGGGGCAGAGTGGGTGCCATGTCCATTATTGCCAAGTATATTAATTTATTTTGGTGGTCATTGCCTAGAATATTATGTATTTCTCCTTGAGGAAGCCTGTTTATTGAAGTGGCAAGTGGGTTTTTGTAGTACTGCAGTACTGTTGGCAGCAACCTCTGATCCTAAGCACAGGCAGCTTTTGTCATTAAAAAACATCCATTCTCAAGCAGCCAAGTCCTCTATCCATCACTTCTTTTGGAAAGCAGACTTAGACTTTAGGGACCAAGTTCTTTGGAAACTAATGTTCAGGTGTGGTGGAAAAAGAATGTGGGCAAGGTCTCAGCTATTAGTAGCAGTATTTTAAACAATCAACAAATATAGCAGGCTCTACTCCAGATACTTACTTACATTTTCTTGGGAAAACATTTTCCATTATTTTACCCTAAGATGGTGTCTTTATTTGATAATGAGGTTTGTTTCTTAGGAATAGCAAAAACATGCATCCTGGTTCCCAATCTAGTATGCTTATCTCTCTTTATTAGGTAATTAAGAACACTAACATTTACAGTTGCTGAAAGATATGCAAAATGTTTCCTGTAATTTTGTTACTTTATGTTTTTGTAGACCTCTTAACTAATAATTTTAGTGTTGTGGTCTCTTTGATTTATTTAACCTTCTTGTAATCTGAAATATACTTTCTGGTTTCCTAGGTACAGCTGATGTGTTGTCATAAATTCCTTTAGTCTATTTCTTATCATGGCAGGTTTTTATTCATCCTTCAACTTTAATAGATAGTTTTGCTGGGTATGCTGTTGAGCTTGCAGAATATCTTTCCAGGCCTTTTTGGCTTTAAATGTTTCTTTCAAATAATCAGGTATTTTTCCAAGACAGCTACCTTAATAATGACTTGTTCCTTCTTTCTTAAAGCTTTCAATACCTTTTAAAAAATCCATGGTTTTAATATTTTAACAATAATATGCTATAGGAAGTTTCTTTTCAGGTTGTCTCTATTTGGAGTTCTCTTTGGGTCTCTTACCTAATTCATCTCGGTTTTATCCCCTTGGAGTACAGTAACTCCTGTAACTTGTTTAATATTTTATTATTTCAGACATTTCCATTAGGGATTATTACTCACTCTGGGATTAGTTATTGTTGCAGAAGACATTATCTTACATTTTCATGGGTGATTTTTCTTTCTGGGCTGGAACTTGACCATCCCATCACAGAAAGAAAATTAGAATTACTTTGTTGATCATGTTGTTCTTACTTTCCTTTTATTTGCAAATTTTAAAAACTCAGATCTCCTTTCTTCTTTCAGTGAAAGTATTCACAATGCATTGAGAAGTACATCCTAGTAGGGTTGAGGTATTCTTTCCTTTGTGGGACTTGGATTTAGGACCAGTACTGTCCTGTGTCATCTGGGTCTTCAGTCTGTGTTTCTGGCTGGGGACATTGCTGAACATACTTACTATGAGTCAGATCTAATCCAAATCCTGGGTTCCTAGGTTCTAGCAATACGTGTACAAGTTATAGAACTCACCATGTACTTATGGAACTAACTTAGGGTCAGATCCAGTACTTAAGGACAAATCAGCTTCTCATTTTCTACTTAAAGGATTGCTGTGTTTTTTTCTGAGAAAATATTAAATCTATACACGCATACCAGTTTACTGGAAAAAGAACATGATTTAATTGCGTTAGTCTGTTTTTAATAGAATATACTCTTCCACTTAAACATTCACATTTATTGCATAAATATTTTTCATTTTTGAGTATATAAGCATTGAAGATTAAAAAATTTACACAAAATATCTCATAAATATTAACTATGCCAGCAATGAAATTGTTCTTTACTATAGTTTTGGGGGTCAGGGATAGAACCAACATCTTTGTACTTAGAACATGTTCTATTTTGGAGCTACATTACTAGCTAGAATTGTTCTTTTTAAACTTTATTTTCTGACTTTTCATATCCAGAGTATGCAAGTAGAATGAAAGTTTATACATTGATGCCAAATTCTGCAGATTTGCTAGTGTTAGTTATTGTTTCTAGTGCATTTCTTCTTGAGTTTTAGTGTTCTCTCTATAAAAAATAAGACTATGTGACTTTTATTTGCATATTTGGGACTCATGAGACCATAAAGTGCTGACTTGGCAAGACCAGAAATCATTGCTTCACTTTTCTCCATACAGAGAAGCCATAAAAAATTTTATCAGTATGTGTGAGGCTGGCTGGAGGCGTGTACAGTTTTCTTCTTTTATATTGAGGTTCAGTTTCATTCTTAGTTTATTTGGTAGTTTTCTTTATAATATAATATAATTACAACATTATTCCCTCCCCCTTCTTCCCTCCCAACCTTACCTACCTACCTTATCTACCCCTGCTCATTGTTCTTTTTATTCATGTCCTGTTTCTTCACTAGTCATTATTGAATGTGTATATATAAATGTATATACATATATATTCCTAAATATCACCTGTTCAGGCGGTATAATATTATGTATATGCATGTTTTGAGGGTTGACATTTTGCTACTGGAAAATGAATTGGTCTTCTCTGTGGAAGACCACCTCTTCTGCTCCCAGAGTCCCTAGTTATCTAGAGTTCTTTGTATTGAGGCCTGGTAGGCTTTCCCCAATCAACTTTGTCATGTCCATTGGTATCATACTTGCTTAGAATGTGTTTGGGCAGAATACTGGTGAGAGTTTTTGAGTATTGTTTCTGATATTACCAAAAGACAATCTCACAGTGAAATCATTAATACTATGTGTGGCTCTTACAATCTTTATGATCCTTCTTTAGCAGTTTTTCCTGAATATTGTATGGATGTATCTATTGGAACTAAGCTTCATAACTCTGCATTTTGGTTGGTTGTGGTTTCTGTGGTGGTCTCTATTACAAAGAGAAATTTTCTTGGTGTGGGGTAAAGACTGTACTTATCTGTGAGTATGAGAGCAAATGTTTATAGATTGTCATTAGGGATTATGCTACTTTAGTAAATAGATTATAGATTCTCCTCAAATATTCATGATTTCACTAGCACTGAATAGTTAGCTGGGTTTCCAGTAGCTGGTCTTCTTTCCTTTTTTTTTTGAGTGGGTCTTGGGTACACTTAATGAGTTCCTGACAAGGTATACGTAAGGATAATGTTGTCCCCTTAGGATGATCATGCCATGCTAGTCATTGATGTGATTTATAGGTGTCATAGCTAGATAGGATATTGGTTGTATCTCTTTATTGGAATATTTCATGGTGCCTTCTGTTACCATGGAAGCTCACGGGTCTCTGGGACCTGGTTCTGAAGTGTATGGCATCATTTTCATCAATCAGGACTTAGCCTTCCACCTTAGGCACTAACCGAAGTGACGGCAATAGGTGGTAGCTTTTGGACAACCCTGGCCAAGAAATCAGAAGAGGGCTTCACATGTCTGGCATTGGGGTTTTTGATAGGGAGTCTTTAGCTCTAGGATGGAGGACTATCAGCACAAAAGACAAACGTTTATTAAACTTACAACTTAAATGTGGAATTATGCATATAATATATATAGGTATTTTAAATAAGTAAGAGTGTAATTTCTTGTGGATATTTCAGACACTGTTATTCTTATTTTACCCACCTCCACCCTTCTTCTGTATTACTGTCTTCCACATCCCTAAAGAAGCCCACTTCTCCTATTTCCTTATCAGATCACTTATATCCTCTATCCCTGTTATCCTTCCTCTTACCTTTTTCTGTTTGTTCCTCTCGCTAAGGATCCCCCCTTTCCATTTCCCTGATCAGATGACTTGTATCCTGATATTCCTCTCTCTACTGCTCCTCAACTGCTTTATTCAGGGAATGGTCCCACTTTACCTTCCTGGTTTCTGGACAATGTACTCTGAAGATTTGGAGCTAGGAGTCTCCAGTGAGAGAGAACTGAGGCATTTGTCTTCTTGGGTGGTGGTTATCTCACTCAATAAGATATTTTCTAGGTCCATTTATCTGCAAAGTTCATTGTATTGTTTTTCTTTACAGTTCAGTAGTAATCTATAGTGTATATCTACCATATTCTCACTATCCGTTCATCTGTTATAGGACATTCAGTGTTTACATTACCTAGCTAGTGTTAATAGAGAAAAAATGAACATGACTGAGCAAGTATCTGTGGAGTATATTCTTTGAAAATTTTGAGTCCATTCAGTATAAGCTAAACAGTGTTGTGGCTAGGTCATGTGGAAGGTTTATTTTTAGCTTTTTAAGAATTGTCCATACTTATTTCCACAGTAGCTACTTACAATGAATGGTAGTTTCCTTTTCCCTGCATCTCCTCCACTATTTGCTTGTTGTTGCCTTGATCTTTGCCATTTCCAATAAGGTAAGAGAAAATCTCAAATTTGTTTATACTTACGTCTCCATAATTACTAGGGGCAATGAATATCCTTGAACTATCTCGCAGACATTTTTTTTCTTCTTTTGGAAACTCTTTATTCAGGTCCAAGATCCATATTTCGAATGGGTCATTTGTTGTTTTGATTCTTTGTGCTTTGTTTCTTTGCTTATTCTGGATACTAATTCTCTGTCAGATGTATACCGGGCAAGGATTATCTCCCATTTGGGCTTTCTCTTTATCCAATTAGTTGTTTCTTCAACTGTGCAGAACCATTTATTTTAATGAGGTCCCACTTGTCAGTTGTTGGCTCATCATGGTGGGGGAAGTATGGTAGCAAGTGGCAGGTATGACAGATGTAGTAACAAGCTAAGAGCTTACCTCTTGATTGACAGACAAGAAGCAGGGAAAGCAAAACCCCAAGTGGGATGAGGCCTCAAACTCTAAAAGGCCACCTCCAGTGTTGTACTTCCTTAGCAAGACACACCTCCAAAGACTCTCAAAACAGCCTCTTGAATCGAGGTACAAGTGTTTAAAAACTGTGTCCCATTAAACTGGGAAACTTAAATGGATTAATCTCTGGATTCAGCCAAAGCACCAAAATTAAACAAAGAAGTCAACAAACCAAATATCCAAACATACCCACAACCAAATGAAGCGATTAAAATAGTAATGAAAAAATGTTTCAGGTAGAAGAAAGTTCAGAACTTGATTAATTCACAGCAGAATTCTACCAGACATCCCAAGATTCACAGCCAGTTTGTCTTAAACTGAGAGAAAGAGAGAGAGAGAGAGAGAGAGAGAGAGAGAGAGAGAGAGAGAGAGAGAATGAGAGAAAGAGAGAGAACTCTAAAGCTCGTCTATGAAGCCAGTATCACCCTAACACACAAGCCAGGTAAAAATACAAGGAGAGAGAGAGAGAGAGAGAGAGAGAGAGAGAGAGAGAGAGAGAGAGAGAGAGGGGGGGGGGTGTGAAAATATGTTGACTTTTTCTTTTTGAGGAATGTGGAAAACATTGAAACTTTGCACTAGAGAAGAATTTGAACATTCTAAGCAGAGCTTAATGGGCTGTTCTAGCAGAAGCTAGTTAGATGGTAGTGCTATATAGAATATGATACCCTACCTGGATCAAAATTTTTAAGATGAGAACAATATTAGCAATTGGGGTAGAGGCTCCTTGTGTGGTATTTTTGCAAAAGATATGGCTTCTTTCTGCCCATGGACTGATAATTTGCTTAAGGATGTATTTTAAAAGAATGAACTAATTTTATTGCCATAGGAGATTTCAAGACAGTCCAATTTTAGCTTTGCTATATGGTTAATAACTATCACTCTTATGCAGGTCTACAATGAAAAGGAGCATATGGGGCAGAAAGAAATAGGAAACATTCACTTTGGAGAAAAAAAGAAAATGACAAGCTTGATTCTATAACCATGGCTGTACTAGAAGAGAGGCTGTAGTCTAAAAGAAATTAGGTGTTTAAGAAGAAGCCTGATTGGAATAAAGGGAAGGGTATACTCAGGACAAGAACCCACCTCGCTAAGCTTCCAACTCTTGGAAGAGAAGCTTAAGGTGTTCTCTGATCTTAAAAACTGAAGCCAGAAGCTGCTCCAAAAGTGATGAAAGGGGGCAACAGGTCCCACATTTCCCTCTCCATCCCCAGTGGCAGCCAAATTTGGAAGTGACATTTATGAGGTTCTACCTTTAAAGTCAAACACACAACAGTGGAGGTGTCATGTAATCTTTTGCTGTAGCTTCACAGAGCCACTATTTTGTCAAAATTGGGTAAGCCCTGATCCTTTGTTTTTCTGTTTCATTTCTACTTCTTTAGGTCATCTTGATCCTCTTTGAATTAATTAATTTTCTAATTTAAATCCTCCTCATTAACCTCCCTTCTCTAGATTTTTTCTTAATTTTTAAATCAAAATTTTATAAATGGCATTGTATCAATAGTGGGACTTAGGGTTTTTCTGACTCTTTTGCCTGTTCTTGGGACCCTTTTCCTCTTATTGGGTTATCTCATCCAACCTTGATATGACAGTCTGTGCATTTTTTGTTTCTTGCATCTTGTTATGTTATGTTCAGTTGGCAGATCCAGCAAGGGGCATGAAACTTCCTTTAGGATGGAGGTCCTACAGGGAAAAGAAAATGAAAAGCTCTTCAACAATCCTCCATCTGACAAAGTGATGATCTTCAAAGTATATAAAGAACTCAAGAAACTAGACATCAATTACAAAATAATCCAATTGAAAATTATGGTACAGAGCTAAACAGAGAATTCTCATGAGCAGAATCTCAAATGACCAAAGGGCATTTAAGGAATTGCTCAACATCCTTAACCATCAGGGAATTGCAAATCAAAACTACTCTGAGAAACCATCTGACACCTGCCATAATAGCTAAGAACAAAAATACTGAGGGCAGCTTATGCTGGGGAGGATGTGGAATCAGAGGAACACTCCTCCACTGATGGGGGGAGTGCCAACTTGTACAGCCACTTTGGAAATCTGTATGGCAGTTTCTCAGAAAATGGGGAATCAATTTACCTTAAGACCCAGAATTCTGCTCACTCTTGGGCATATAGCCAAAGGATGCTCAATCATACCACAAGGACACTTGCTCAACAATGTTCATAGCAGCATTATCCACAATAGCCAGAACCTGGAAACAACTTAAATGAGGAATTGACCAAGAAAATATGATATATTACATAATGGAATATTACTCATCTGTAAGAAACAATGACATCAGGAAATTTGCAGGCTAATGTTTGGAACTAGAAAAAAAATTCTCGGTGAGGTAACCCAGACTCAGAAAGACAAACATGGTATATGTTCACTCATAAGTGGATATTAGATGTAAAGCAAAGGATGACCAGGCTACAATCCACAGCTCCAGAGAAGCTAGGTAACAAGGAGGATCCTAAGAGGGACATATGGAGTGCCCTGGGAAGAGAAATTAGATGAGATCTCCTGGGTAACCTGGGGGCAAGGGGGTAGTAAAGGGAAGGGGAAGGGGCATGAGAACACAAGGGAAAAAATGGTCAAGCTGGGAAGGGTCAGGGTGGAAGAGACTCTGTGAGGTGAGCTCTTACCATTAGCATGTTTGTTCCCCTGGGTGACTTTATTTTTCTTGTGCTTATTAGTTTCAAAATGTTTTAAAATGTTTGTTTACACATCCCTCTCCTTGCTTCTCTTCATCTGCCTGCTTGAGGATACTATTTTTGCCATGTTTTTAGTTTTCCTTCTAACGTTACCACCACCTGTGCTTTCTTAAAATAAAATGGAATTTTTAGCTTCCAATGATAATTATTTTTACATTAGCTGGAAAGTACTTGGAAATGCTTTCTGGCTGCTGTTGCTTTTGTAATTCCATTATCCACTGTACAGATGCAGGGTTAGGCTTACTTGCTTTGGGCTCCTTACCCTGCTGCCCCTTTTAATGTAAAAGGGAAACGGCTTCTCCTGCACGACAAGTGTCTCTTCTAAAATAGTTCCTTGATGGTTCTGCCTGTTTTACACATTGGTGCATATGCAACAAATAGAACTCAGATAGATGCTAATACTTAAAAGCATCTTCCAGATTAGCTGTTTTCTTGTTTTAATGTTCATCTTTTCTTTCATCAGAAAAGCTCCTCCAGCCTTGCAAATAATATTCTTTCTAAGAATCTTAGTTAGGCGATCCATCTAATCCTTAGTTGTTTTCTTTTTGTAGTAATATTTATGAATTTGAAATTCTTTCTTATTACTTCATTTCTATATTCTTTTTTCCTTCATGGTATTTCTCTTTTCCAGATCATCCTCTTGCTGCTATTCTTTTGTAGCAAATTAGACCTCAGTTCTTCTTTCTCTTGGTTTTTGTTTTCATTGTTTTGTTTGTGTGTTCTGAGGCAGGGTCTGACTGCATATTCCAGGCTAGTCTCCAACATGGGACACACAGTTTCTGTCTTTGCAGTGCTGGGATAATAGTCATGTACAGCTTTCAATTCATAATGTGAATTGCTTATTCAGATATTACTTTTTTTTACAATGCCTTAAGTTTACGTTGTGAGGGTGTTTTTGTATTTGTTTTGTGCATTTTATGTTTCATGAGTGGGTCATAATTCTTGTTTGGTATTTAAGTGTTTGATGTAACCATTTAACCTGAGTGTTATCACCTGCCAGATTTTGTTTCTTCCTATACATAGGAAATCCTGGAGAGAATGCTCCAAACTAAGAGTGTCAGATTTGGTGACTCACAGAGCCTAGTGGAGTGGGAATTCACAAAAAGTTTGTACAGTGGATTGGAGCTTCCAAATTCTTCCCGTGACTTTATGTTATTATCATTCTATATCTAATGAGAGCTCTTTTTTATTTCTTCACTCTTTGCTTCATCCTCAGCCTTAATGCTGATTTAACTTGTGTATCTTGGTGGCAGTGGGGACTGTTCCAGCTGCTCTTGATTTGTGACCAATGACACTTAGAAGGAAATCAGTATAAAGAGCCAGATTGAGGGTTGCCTGAGGGCATTCATATGGGCATGCCACATCAAACTGGGCATCCAGTGATGATCACAGAGCAATGGTTCTCAACCTTTAGGTCATGACCCCTTTGGCAAACCTCTGTCTCCAAAAATATCTACATTGTCATTCATAACAGTAACAAATTTACAGTTATGAAGTAGCAACAAAAGTAATTTTATCGTAGGGGGTTTCCACAACATGAGGAACTGGATTAAAGGGTTGCAGAGTAGTTTGAGAACCACTGATCATAGAGTTATCTGTACCTCAGGCAGGAATGCATGTGGAGAAATGGGTGGGAATTCAGGATGTAGGTTGTGGGTGAAAAAACATACAAAAAGCATTACTCAGTGTAAAGGGAAATACAAAAGGAATGAAAGGAGGAAATAGAGCTTATCTTACAAAGATGAGGGATTCTGAGAAAATATGGTAAGCCACAGGAACACAGAATTTTAAAGAGAGGCTGTGTGTGTCTTGTGTCTTAGTGGCAGATCTGGTGTTGAATGATATTGTGCCCTTGTGAAAAACAAAATTGAGATTTCAGTATTTAACTCTCTATTCCAAGATTGGGATATTCTATGTTACTTTCCTGCCATTCTTAAAGGATTTTTGTCTCCTACATGTAGACATAAATTTAAAAATTTCTATATGAAAAACAATGCTCCATTATATGGAAAAATCTATATGTAAGAATTGCCTGGGCTGAAAATGCTAACCTGAAAATCCAAAAGCTTCATAGCATAAACCCCTGCCCTGGGCATGAAAAGCCCACTTTTGAGTTGTTAGTCATGGCTGAATAACTCCCAAAACATAATGGCCTATTACTATTGCTCTTGGCTGCCCCTAGAGGTAGAAGGTGAGTCTCTATTGCTAAAGACATCATGCATTTCAAAAATGGGGCTCAGAAACATGGCCCAGAATCCCTGAGATGGACTGATCTGAATCTGTCCTCCCTGAGGCCTACTTTTCATGGTACCAAAAGGCACCATGCAAGCTTCCAAATGAGGGAGACAATTATCAGTACTATCCAGCCATGATGCCTATGAACTACAATGACCAGAATAGCAGAATAACCCTAAAGGTACAGTAGTGGTACACATATTTTGGTGGCAACCAAAAGTTCTCCAATTGAACTTAGGTCAGCTCAACAAGAGGGAAGCCATGCCTGGTAGAGTGCTTCAGTTGTAATATCACTATTTCTATGATGTTATGTAGGAGAAACCGCAGCCAGTCTACCAAGCCGCAGGTGCCCAGGCCAGTCTGTATGAGCATGGGAGGCAGGCGTTTCCTCCCAAAGCCAAGCCTGCCTCTACACCTAGAGACTGCTGATGAAGAGACTCATGACCAGATACACCAATGAGGAAAGGACAACACAGCAGAGTCAGGTGCCTGAGCCAATGGGACCTTGGGAGGGGATATAAAGACAGTTCTAACTTCCTTAATAAATGAGTCTGGAGCATAGTCTGCTACTCACTGACTACCAGTGCCTGAGTTGCTGGTGCTGCATCCTCTCACACCCTCCCTCAAGGGGGATCCCAGCAGAGTAACCCTCAACAAGGTTATATCTGGCCTTACTCAACAGCTATCAGTCTGCAACAACCCAGAGAGGACCGTTTGCTAAAACAGCCTATTTTGGGAGATAATTTGTCTTGCTTAAGTGAAGAATTCCAGGAAGAATAGACTATTGTAATCTACAGGCATCCTCTGCTGTAGTACCCACTTCCTCATTCTCACCACCCTATAAAAAGTCCCAGCTAGTTTTTTCCCCTTGCAGGACCACCATGCCTTAGGAAAGTTCATGCCCCTTGCTGTATATGCTAATAAACACAGCCTCATATGGTGAGGTCCAAATCTGGTCTCTCTCCTGCCTTTTGTCTCTTTTCTCATGGTCTCTCTCTATCTCTGCCTCTCACTTAGAGACTCCAAGCAATGAGGCACTGTCAGGATGAGGACTACATTTTCAGCTTGGCTTTCATTTGGTTCTCACATTTTAACAGAAGATGATTTCTCTGACATCCAGGTGAAATTCTCATTTTATACAAAAAAAAAAAAAAACCCTATGGATTCCTGAATGAAGAATTTCAGTTAGTGTCAGATAAGAAGAGATTTTTTAACATACTTTTCTTTTTGAGATAAGAGAATATTTAATATGCTAAGCCATTTAATAAGAAAAATACACTGCCAAGGGCCAGGTCCCTGTGACTGGGAAAAGCTCACAAGAATTCTCCTCTTTCTGATTGTCAAGGTTACTGAAAAGTACCACAGGAGATCCAGCTCTCACCCAAACAACACTAAGCAGGAAGAGATTCCATTCTCATAGGGATCATCATAGGTGTTATATACTACAGTTCACACAAAAGACCCACAGAAGGAAGACAATACCAGTTAGGTTTATCAGGGAAGACCACTGTTGGATAGGCAGGCCTTAGCCCATCCTGTCTCCCTCTTACAGAGTGGCTCTACATAAGCTGTATCCAGCAGAGAAGGACACTAATTCAAATGCCTCCAAGAACAGATACAGCTCTTCAGCACAACCACATTCTTCATTACCAGGCAGGTGGTCAGAATTACCTATATACTATATGTTTTCATGGACAAAATTGACTTCTCACCATAGACTCATCCACTCTGCCC